TGTATATATATGTCTATACGTATAGACATATATGTGTATATATATGTATATACATATATGTGTATATGTGTATATACATGCACATATGTGTATATACACATATGTATATAATGTATATAATATTACATAAGTTACATATACATATACGTGTGTATATATGTACATACATATATACATGTATATATGTACATATATGTATATATGTATATATGTGTACATATATACACACATATGTATATATATGTATATATAATTAGATTTAACTCCCATAAGAATATTTGAGGTAGGTACTGTTTTCATAATACCTTAGGTGAGGAAACTGAGGTGTATAGAGATTAAATAATTTGTCCAAAGTCACGCAGCTAGTGGCAAAGGTGGAATTTGAACCCAAGCAATATGATTCTAGAACCTGTGCCCTTAAGCATCACGATAGACTATTCGTTGACTTTATCACAACAGAATCAATTCTCTAAAATTTTTTTATTAAATTAAAAACATGTTTATTTATTTTTGAGAGAGACAGACAGAATGTGAGTGGGGGAGAGGCAGAGAGAGAGAGAGAGATACAGAATACAAAGCAGGCTTGGTGCTCCGTGCTGTTAGCACAGAGCCCAGTGAGGGGCTTGAACTCACAAATCATGAGATCATGACCTGAGCTGAAGTCATGCAGGCTCCCCGTAACAGCAGAATCATTAAATGCATAGGTAGGAATGATGGAAAACCTCTTAGGTTTTGCAAAATACAGTATTCGGGCGGCTTCGGATGCCTGGCCTGGCAACACACTTATTCTAGTGCCTGGTGGGGCAGAGCTATGCTCTCTGTAAACATGTTTGATTCCTGAAGCACCACAGCCTCCTTTATGAGTCTGGCCCCTAAATCATTTTTTTGCACTCTGGCATGTGTAAGGTTACACGATTAGGCCATAAAATTGTCAGAGGCTCACGGTGGCTGGGCCATTTCTCATTTCAATTGGACATGTTTTGGTAAGATTCCTTTTCAAGTCTTGGAAATGTTTCTCTCATTTGCAACGTAATTCTTATGTGTGTGTGTGTGTGTGTGTGTGTGTGTGTTACTTGGTTGAAATGAAAAAAGAAGGCAGAGAAAGCAGAGGTTATCTCTGTTTTGAGCCAGTTTTGGATATCGGGTTCCCTGATTCTAAAACATGCTTGGTATTAGTAAACATAATACCCTGCGTTTGTGAGACTTTTAAGATATTTTATGACATTTTATACATATACTCTCATTCGAATCTTACAGCCACCCAATGAGGTAGATAAAAAAAAAATCTATATTATTAAATCCTTGTATACATAAGGAACCTGAACCTCAGAGAGGTTACTTGAACTTGTCCAGCGTCAGTCAGCTAGGAAGCAAAGAAGGAGATATTAGAATCTCGCCTGTTTCTTTTTTTTTAATTAAAAAAAATTTTTTTTAATGTTTATTTTTGAGAGAGAGAGAGAGAGACAGAGCATGAGTTGAGGAGGGGCAGAGAGAGAGAGAAAGAGAGAGAGACAGAATCTAAAGCAGGCTCCCGGCTCCGAGCTGTCACAACAGAGCTCCACGCAGGACTCAAACTCGGGAACGAGATCATGACCGGAGCCAAAGTTGGACACTCAACCAACTGAGCCACCCAGGTGCCCCTCGCCTGTTTATTTCTAGTGAGGTGTTCTGTTCAAGCACCATAACAGCAGCTCTAAAAAAAACCACATGGGATTTGGGAATCATTCTCTGCTTTAACTTCAGGTTTCATTTATTTATTTTTTTAATAACTTTTTTTTAACGTTTATTTATTTTTGAGACAGAGACAGAGCATGAATAGGGGAGGGGCAGAGAGAGAGGGAGACACAGAATCCGAAAAAGGCTCCAGGCTCTGAGCTGTCAGCACAGAGCCCGACTCAGGGCTTGAACTCACGGATGGTGAGATCATGACCTGAGCCGAAGTCAGCCGCTTAACCGACTGAGCCACCCAGGCACCCCTAACTTCAGGTTTTAAAAATCATGGGTGGCTCACTCGGTTAAGCGTCTGACTTCGGCTCAGGTCATGATCTCACAGTTCATGAGTTTGAGCCCCACATCGGGCTCTGCACTGAGGGCCTGGTGCCTGCTTCGGATTCTGTGTCTCCCTCTCTCTCTGTTCCTCCCGGCTTGCGCTAGCTAGCGCATGCACATTCTCTCTCAAAAATAAATAAATAAACATTTAAAAAGTTTAAAATTAAAAACTTAGAAAAGAAAAGAAAATCATAGCCCTCCCAATCCTCTAGCCAACTCCGCCCCCTCTACCCCCACCCAGACCATCCAGAGGCATTGTGCAAAGCGGGTAAGCAGAGAGGCTCTGTATCTTCTAGTTTTGTGACCTTGAACGACTCACTTCACCTCTCCATGTCTCCATGCCCGTAGGGACAAGAATAGTACCTACCCTATAGGGTTTTGAGAGGATGAATTAATTAATATATGCATGGCATTTAAAACAGAACGCTAGGTGTTTGGTATCACTAGCATCCTAAAAGGAAGTTAGAATAATCCTTCTCCGGGTCTCCAGGAAATTGATCCCCCAGCCACCCTGGACAACACATTCCAGTTTTTATAAAAACCGCGAGCTTTAACGAGTTGTCACACAAATAAACACCACACCCCCTTACCAGGACTGCTGCATCATATCATTCGGCAGTAGGAAGCGGCACATGTTTGCGGTCTGGTTGTTATTTTTGGTAAAAGGCACCAGGTTGCTATAAATTGGGTACGGAGTCATGATGGTAAAGGAGAGGCACCAGGTAGTGGCGATCACCTTCAAAGCATGGGATTTTGTCTGCCAGACCCGGGACTGTAAGGGTTTGCAGATTGCACCGTATCTTTCCAGAGATATGGCCACCAGATTAAAGGTGGAGACGCTCACCGAAGTGCCTGGGAAAGGAACAAAGAAGTCAGTTACGATGGCGCTGAAATCCAGAGTTTATTTGCACATTATCTGCTCTGCACGGGTTTCATATCAAGGGACAGCACTCAGTATGTGCAGACTCAAATGTATGTATATATTTTTAAAAATCAGGGGCGCCTGGGTGGCGCAGTCGGTTAAGCGTCCGACTTCAGCCAGGTCACGATCTTGCGGTCCGTGAGTTCGAGCCCCGCGTCAGGCTCTGGGCTGATGGCTCAGAGCCTGGAGCCTGTTTCCTATTCTGTGTCTCCCTCTCTCTCTGCCCCTCCCCCGTTCATGCTCTGTCTCTCTCTGTCCCAAAAATAAATAAAAAACGTTGAAAAAAAAAATTAAAAAAAAAATAAAAATCACTTATTCTCAGTTTCGTTTCAAAAAGGATTTAAGGCAGTTAAAGAAATCTATTTACAAATACATCTTCTTTCCAATTTTTAGGTAAGTTGATTGAACTTTGATTACAACCTCCCTCGTGCTTAGGCTAATTAATAACCACGGGGATGGACTATGTTCCTATCCCACAGAAGAGGTGTTGGACTCAGCCACAGAAAAGCTCTAATTTTGAACATAACCTGAGGTTAGGTTGACCTAATAACCCAGATTTGTAAGGACTGTGACCCTGAAAGGTCACTGGGGTCTGAGCTGGAGGCATTACAACTTTCTGAAAATTTCTACCACAGACTAGGATTTATAAGAATGCAATGTTATGGGGCGCCTGGGTGGCGCAGTCGGTTGAGCGTCAGACTTCAGCCAGGTCACGATCTCGCGGTCCGGGAGTTCGAGCCCCGCATCAGGCTCTGGGCTGATGGCTCAGAGCCTGGAGCCTGTTTCCGATTCTGTGTCTCCCTCTCTCTCTGCCCCTTCCCCGTTCATGCTCTGTCTCTCTCTGTCCCAAATAAATAAACGTTGAAAAAAAAAATATATAAGAATGCAATGTTATACATTTTAAAAAGTAGTTTGTGGAAAAAACACATAGTGGAAAAACGCGAAGGGGGGGATTCCACACCGTAACTAAGGGTTGCTGCGTGTGGGAGGACGAGAGCTTCCCTTCCCGTTCTGTTTTGCTTTCCTGTATTTTGCAGAAGGAGCATGCGTCATCATTGAGAAAGACACCAAAACACCTTCTTTAAAATGTTCTTGGGCAGAGTAAAAAAAACCCCTTAATTTTCTTTAATTTTTGTATTTTGTGTGTGTATACTTATTATCATGTCCTCTCCCCTTAAAATTCCCTTTCATGACTCATCCATGGATTCTGGCAATTTTTCTGATTATCGTTACCATGATTTCTTAAACCTTAGAATTAATCTAAGCTTGGGAGAACAGACTCTTAGCCTGGGCCTTTTATGGATAGAAATAAATTCTCTGAAACTATATATAAAAATATTCTTTTTTGGGGGGGGACTACCTCCAGGGTTCCTTAGAGACTTGAAGGAATCTGCAACCCAAAAGCCATTAAATAAAAACTCATGTTCTGAGATGGGAATACTGTGTTTTCCTGGACATCACCCCAAGGAATTGATGACATTTAGGCTATAGAGTGTAGTCCCGAAGTCCCGGAGTCAGGGTCTGGATAATGAGCCCACCGTTGTTATAAACCTCCTACCAGGCAAGCACTCTTTCTCTTTTTCTTTTCTTTCTCTTTCTTCTCCTTTTTTTTTTTTTTTTGACTGCATTTTAGGAGATTAATGAACGTTAACTGTTAGGAATAGTATTGAGGAGAACACAAAATCAAGGGAAGAATAGAAATCACCAGATCTAGAAATCCAACAAAACCATTACGATGTTGCAAACACTTTCAGAATTATCTTGGCTTTCCATTTTTGCTATTTTCAAAAACATTTTTTTGGGGGGGGGGTGAAATTCACATAGCCATTTTCAAGCAGGCACGTCCGTGGCATTTAGCACATTCACTATACTGTGCAATCACACAAGCGCTTGCTTTAAATCTCCTTTCACAGACCCTGGTTAAGAGTCTTAAATCATATTATCGTTAAGATACATATGGATGGGCCTGGAAAGCTGGAAGCGCCACGAGATGCTAGTAATTATTACCGCTTCATTGTTTCATAATGATCCCTTTCACTGGTAAGTCCATTTTTCTTTTCAGAGTTCTTGGACAAGGACTGACACTTTCTTGGTTGTTTGTCCGTGGCACACAGATCAGTAATTCATCATCGTTCGGTCAGGGTTAGATCCCGCTTCGTCAATTGGGAGAAATAAAGGCTTTGAAAGCTTTCCGGTCATTACTGCCCTGGCCCAGCTCAGCTCAGCTCCGCACATTTTGCAAGGCTTAGGTCAGAACAAAAAAGAGCCCTCCCTCACTTCCCGGCCTCCTCCTCCCCTCAACTAGTTCTCAGAGTTGGTAGGAACGCGACAGTCTGGCAGACAGGGAGACAGGGGACGGAGAGACATCTTTGTTCGGCCTCAGGAGAGCCTCGGCAGCTGGCAAACTGAGTCAGAGTACTCACGCACCACGGTGGCGGCTACCGATCTAGGTTCAAATCTCTGCTCTGTGCTTTACCACCTGTGTGTCCCTGGGCGCATTATTAACCTCTCTGTGCTTCCCTCGGTGAGGCGGGGAAGAATAAGCATCTTAGATTTCACAGGGTGGTTGGGAGATAGGATCGTGGGAGTAAAAAAGCACTTAGTACAACATCTGGTGCATAGAAAGTGCTCAAAAACATCAGCCCTTGTGATTTTTCTTTGTCATCGTCATCATTTTGATTGGCAAAGGCAGAGGGCTGCCTATCCCAGCCAGTCAGGGTGAGCTTAATGACCCACAGGCTCCGGGAGCAAAATCAACTCCTCATTTAGTGCCAGAGGCCGCTCTCCCTCTCTGCCTGAGATGGTCCCAGCCCCTGGGGGACCAGGCTGGGAAGTAAGTCCCGACACAGGAATCTAGAGCCGGAAAGAAACGGGTGTTCACAGTAGCCCCTGTTCCCTGGGAAGGCAGGAGCAACAGTAGAAAGAACCCTCCACCCCCCGCCCTCCAACCACCACCCCGAAAACTGCGCCTCGGGTTGGGCAGAGCCCCGGAATATGACCAACGGCTTCCAGGAAGGGACTGAGCCGCACGAGTGCCTCTTTCTCTCTAGCCGAAGCAAGCAAAGCCCACCTCTTCTGTGGTTTCTTAACAACTTATTCCACCCTGAGAAACTGACCCCTGAAACGTACGACTGGGGACTGAGTCCTGGGCGCGCACGAGGACGGACCTGCCTGAAAGCCAGTGCCTGCACCCCTGCGCTCAGCCCCACACAGCCAGGTGTTTTGGGGGGGGGGGTTTTGCACTCAGCAGGACTCCTCTGCTGAGGCTGTCAGGGAGCGGGGGTGGGGGGTGGTGGGGGGGACAGTTGGGAAGGTCTGGGGCCCAGTGGGGTCTGGGGCGAGCTCCAGAAATAGTCACCGGCAGCAACTCACCCATGAAGTAGGTGGTAGTCTTGCAAACAGCACTCCCGAAGATGAAATCCTTGAGCAGGTTGGGGATGAGGTTGAACGGCATGCAGAAGAGGCAGAGCATGAGGTCGCTGACGGCCAGGGAGAGCAGAAAGATGTTGGTGACAGTTCTCATCCTCTTGTTCCGAATCAGCACCGTGATGACCAGGGTGTTTCCCAGCACGCTGAGCAGAAATATTAAGGAATACAGGAGGATCTGCACAGCCAGCTGCCACTCTGCACGGAGCAACAGGGACGAGACAGAGGGGCGGGCGGAGGTTATGGGAGCAGAATGTTAAATCCATAGCCCACGACACCAACGGTTATTTCTTGCAGATTTTTTTTTCTTGCAAGGGTGCACCTCCTTGAACCCGACTATTCCTGTACTTGATAACGTTTTGCAGAAACCAAGTGAGGAGCCCACAGGGATTCAGTGGCTTCTAAAATGTTGGTTTTGTTCAAGAATCTCTCCGGGAACCACTTTTTCCTCGGAACAAAGCTTCCCCAGTGCATGGTGATTGCTTCCTTTCCTAGCTGCTAAGCATTATTTTACTTTCATCACTTTTTCACGCCGGATTCCCGGGGCCGCGCCCCCCAAGAAAAGGTGACAGCTGGACTGCCAGAGCACCTTTTCTGTGATGCTGGTAAGTTCCAGCTTCGCCACGTGTGCCCCTTTCTTATTACACTTTGGCTCCTCCTTCTTTGGATTTGCCCCCCACGCCCCCACCCCCGAGTCCTATACCTCCATCTCAACTCTCCCCTGGGGAACCGTAAGGGTATTTGACTCAGTTCTGCTTCTTGATGTGTTATCCAAACTTGCGAACGCACGACTTTCCCCAGCCTTGTCTCCCGAGGACTTTGTTACATTTTCTCTCTCAGCCTCGCCTTTGCTGATTTCTCCCTGAGCTCAATCATTTTTCTGAATGAAAATAACAGTGTCTGACACCTACCTTTGGAAGAATGGGGCTGATCCAAGCAGAAGAGCGTCTCATTTTCGATTCCCAGCTCACAGGGAGGGGTGATGTTGCTCCCATTCACGAGAAGGCTGTCGACCACATCCATCCTTGCCTGCTGTTCTCCAAGTGCCGCGAGCCGGGGAATTGCTCATTCCTCTGATGACCGGAGAGACCAAATGCGACCTGCCATGGAGGGACAGGGAGGGAGGGGTCTCCAGGTGCGGGCTTTTCCAGCCATTCCTGAAGGCGACGTGCGCTCACCACGCTCGGTCCAGCTGGGCGAGCATCTGCACTCCTGTCTTGGAAAAGGCAGCTCTTGTGAGCCAAGCCAGCTCCACCTTCCGAGCCCACCCCGCCCGTTCCCGGGCCAGTCTTGGGGCCCCGAGCACAGATAGCCTGACTGTGAGTTAACCCTTCCCAGAGTGTCACTGCTCTCACACACCCTTGTGCACACACGGACACACTTGCACAGACACACACACAAACACACACACTTCCCCGGCACCTCTCTCCTCTGTGTAGGAACCTGTCACCAACCCAGACGTATGCAGAATAAAGCCCGGACTGGCTGTGTGAGACAGGAACAATTAACACGGTAACGGATACGATAATGCAGAGCGTCGTCGGGACTAAAGGACACGGAGGGACTGTGTTTCTACCTCCTTATATAAAAGCAATTAGTGCCTTTTTAGCTTTGGAACCATGCCCGGCAATGTGTGTAGATATAACTGTCCCATGGCTGTTGTTACCAACCACAGTGTTATTTCTTGCCATCTCTGCCCTTGCTAACCGAAAGGAGAGGGGTGTTTTTGGATATAGGTTTCTGGATCCTTAGTACCAAAAAAGTAAGGAAGGTTTTCCGTTCATTCATTTATTCGGTGGTCCATTCATTCAGCACATACTCGTTGAGTCAACCATCTGCCAGGCACTTTCTAAACACATGAGCAAGGAATGAACAAGATCCTTTCAGATAGTGTTTAGCACCATGAAGGGAGTAAAGCCAGAAGATGTAATGGAGAGGAATGGATTGGGGGTGCTGATTTAGATGAGGTGGTCAGGAAAGACCTCCCGAGGGAGGGGACACGATCTGAGACCTGGAAGACAAGGAGGAGGAAGCCTGGGAAGATCTGGGGAGAGTGGCTTCTTCTAGGCAGGAAGAACAGTATTTTTGGCAGAGGTCATGGTAAGTGCAAAGGCCCTGTGGTGGAAATAAGCGTGGCCCCTTTGGGGAACAGGCAACAGTAGGAGTGAGTGGGAGGCAAATAGTGAAAGCTAAGGTTAGAGAGGAAGACCAGCCTGGGTGTCTGGCTTTTCTTCGATGCCCTGTAGCCCTCGAAAGCCCCTCCGTATCCACCCTACAGATGGTCTCCTTGGTTCAGACCTTTGAGGAAGCAGATGACAGCTGTGAGACCTGTGTTTTGGACACGCCACTTGGCTGGGCTGAGATCCATTCTATTTGCTAGATGCCTGCGGGGCCCTTGTGTACTGACGGGGCTCTCAGTGGACAGCTATGCACATCTTTGCTGGACGCGGATGAACTAACTGGCATTTTTGCTGGGGAGGCTCAGGCTGTGGGCTGGGAAGACAGAGTGATGCCTGTTTTCTTTGAAACTACGATCACGGACACTAGAAGTGGGAGGAAGGTTGGAGAAGCTATCAGCGGTTATTAAGGGGATAGGCCTTGGCATCAGACAGGCCAGGAATCAAATCTGGGCTCCACGGGTCATGTGCTGGGAACTACCAGGCAAGTTTCTTAACCTAAGACTCACTCCCTTCTGTCAAATGGGGATCAGAATGGCTTCATAGATATTTGTTCTGAAAACTGACTCCTTAAGGCAATGTCAAGGCCTGGCACACTAAAAGTGTTCACCAAATCACAGATCGCAATATTAATAGCCATCAGATCATAGTTGTTATTTTCCTTCTATGCAGGAGGAAACAGGCTCAGAGTGGCTACGTGAGTTGCTGGTGAAACCCAGGGCTGCACACCCGCGCCTGGACCCCGCAACCCCATCCCCATTCTACCTCCTGCAGCTTGGAACCTTCTTTGTTATCCTAGGATCACGCAACCCACGTGTTGCCAGGACCCTCGTCTCTGCTCCCCCTTCCTGCCGCGCGTCCTGTTGGCTAAATCTTTCCAGGATGTGGACCCTGCCCCCGAGGTGGGGGCCCAGTGCAGCCCTGGGGCGGGAGAAACATTCAGGTGTGGAGCCCCGGCAACAGCTAAATTCCACCCTACTGCTTGCTCCCGGCAGCTGGCTGTTCAGCCACTTCAACAGGGCAGACATCGGCAGCCACTAAGGAGGCTCCTGCTGAGGTACCTCCCCATCGGCAGCTGTTCTGGTGGTGGGAGGGGTGTGCTTCAGCAAGTCCAAGGGCAGGAGAGCAGCGGGCTTGGGCTGACCTGCCCTGAACTAACTTCCTTCCTCCCTCCCTCCCCCCTTCTTGCCTGCCTTCCTTCCTTCCTTCCTTCCTTCCTTCCTCCCTCCTTTCCTCTCTATTCCAATTCGGCTCAGGAGTTGGCAGGGAGTGAGGGTGGAGTGTAGGAGGGTGGGTGCTAGAGATAATTGTAAACCCACAAGGAGTGAGTGTGGCACATCTGAGTGCTGTCCTTTACAAACATTAGTGCACATCTGAAACACCTCGGTTAGTGCTTTAAAAAAAAAAAATGAGGATTTCCAGGCTTCCCTCCCAGGGATTCTGACCCTCCAGCCCAAGACGTGGGAATCTGCTTTTTTTATCCCTGGGGATTTGGAGGCCAGTGATCTCAGGGTCACCTCTCGGGCAGCTCCCTGGAAGCCATTAAGAGCGTGAGCACAGGCGTCAGACTACAGGAACCCAAGCCTGGCCTTCACCATTGGCCAGCTGTGGAACAGGAACAAATTACCTGACCTTTCTGAGCCTCAGCTTGCGCATCTATAAAATGGGGACAACATAATGCTACCATAATGCTACCCATAAACAAAATACGTGGAAAGCCCTTAGAACAATGCCTCACCATTAGTGGATCAGATCAACTCTCAGGGTGCTCTGTTTACCCCCGTGATTGCGGCCGCAGGGGAACGAGCCACGAGCAAAGTTAGTGGGGACCTTGTGCTCGTGAAATCCTCAGTCCGCTGTGGGAGACAGGTGATAATAAACTGGGCAAAATGGGACTGCCCTTCTTACCTTGGAGTCTATCCCGTGATCGGGCATGAGTTCTAGGCGAATCGATAGTTATGTGCTAAATTGAGTTGAAATAGTTTAAGTGCCCCTCCTCTCCAGGCCGGGCGGCCTGAGCCTGGCTGTCTCCTGCACCCCACGAAGCCCTTGGGGTCACGGGGACTCTCTTCTCTGGCAAATCCTAGAAAGCCACAACTCGAGCATCCTCACCTGGTTCTTAGGTAAAGAAACGGGTGGCTGTTCCCTAACCCATTCTCCACTTGATCTTAGCCAAAAGGCCGAGAAGCGATATCCCTAACCCGTTCTCAATATTAAGGAAGAATTGTTCTCAAACACACACACCAAAAATGTATGTGTGTTTTTTTCCCCCCTCATTGTCACGCCAACCCCATGGTCGTTACAAATTTTGTAAAGCAACAGAGATACAGAGAGCTATCGTGAATTTCAGGTCCCGGCATGATTCACTCTCAGTGCTGTGCCACTTTCGGAGACACAGTCCGGAGTCGGTGGTCCGTAACGGGTTTGTTGTGGGAGCACCCAGTTCACAGGGCGGCCAGACGCTTCTTAACGTTCTCGCGGCTCTGCTCTGCAATTCTCTCCCCACTCTGCTGCTCTGAATGTGGCCCTCTCTCAATTTCTTACTTGTCACTCTCTTCCCAAACAGCCAGACTGCTGCCTGCTAAGCCTTCCTTCTTGTACTTCCTCTAACCGTCCAGGCTTCTGGAACTGGCGGACGGCTCTGGGTCACTCTAGGGGTGGACACGCTGATATGGTGGCGCACCCCTGCTCCCCGCCCCCCCCCCCTCCCCCCGGGAATGCACGCGTCCGCCCCCGAAGGTCCTCGCCCTCTGGCCATCCCTGGGGAAATCCCAGTGGCTCCTTTCTGATGAAGGCAGCCGCCTTCGTGTCTGTTGGATGAAGCAGTTGCTTGGCAAGCCACAGCTGGGTTGGGCAAGTTGCTTTGCCTCTCTCACACTTTGTTTCCTCACCTGGCAAATGGCTTCACAGTGGTAGCCCCCAGGTCAGAGGACGGCTGGGACATTACCTGTCACAGTGTGTGTAAAGCATCCAGGGGAGTGCTCGGCATTTCAGGAAGGTCCAGCAATTACTAATAACATTTATCATATTTCATATCGATAGGAATATTAAAAGTGTCCCCGGGGCGCCTGGGTGGCTCAGATGGTTGAATGTCCAACTTTGACTCAGGTCGTGATCTCACAGTGTGTGAGTTCAAGCTACGCATCGGGCTCTCTGCTGTCAGTACGGGCCCGCTTCAGATCCTCTGTCTCCCTCTCTCTCTGCACCGCCCCCCGCTCATGCTCTCAAAAATAAATAAACATTAAAAAAAAAATTTTTTTTAAAGCTTCCTGAAGACCACTGCCTCCAGGTAACATTTGTTCATGGTTAGGCAGAGATTTTTCTAGCCTTTTCCTCAAAACACATCTTTTGAAAAGCAAATTTGGAATCATACTCTATGTATGGCATTCATCCCACTTACTGCTTTCTGAGCATGTCGTTTTTTTTTAAATTTTTTTTAACGTTTTTATTTATTTTTGAGACAGAGAGAGACAGAGCATGAGCAGGGGAGGGGCAGAGAGAGGGGGAGACACAGAATCTGAAGCGGGCTCCAGGCTCCGAGCTGTCAGCCCAGAGCCCAACGCGGGACTTGAACTCACGGAGTGTGAGATCATGACCTGAGTGGAAGTCGGACGCTCAACCGACTGAGCCACTCAGGTGCCCCTAGCCTTCTGTTTTTACACACTTACACACGTATTTTTGTGGCATTTGATGTCTGTCGGTGACATCGGGGATTACATCAGCCAGCTCCAAGGGCAGCAATCATGCAGGATTCACTGGCACGTCTGGCCCCTGGAGCTGCCAATGCAGAGGGCACCCCCTCCAGGGACTGGTAGCCCGAGGCCTGGGCAAATCACTTCCCGAAAGACAGCACTCATTTGTAAGGCTGCTATTTATTGTAAGGCTGGTTTCTTACACTTTTATCAGCATTTGATGTATTGGGTAGCATTTTCCTTTTGCTAATAATTGAAAAAGGCACCTCATTGTTGTTGGAATTTGCATGGCTTTGCTGCTTTATTTTATTTATTTATTTTTAATGTTTATTTCTTTTTGAGAGAGAGACTGAGGGCAAGCAGGGGAGGAGCACAGAGAAAGAGAGAGGGAGAGAGAATCCGAAGCCGACTCCAGGCTCCGAGCTGTCAGCACAGAACGCGACGTGGGGCTCGAACTCGTGAACCATGAGATCATGACCTAAGCTGAAGTTGGTGCCTCAGAGACTGAGCCCCACCCCCCCCCCCGGGTGGCCCATCTTTGTTTTAATTTGCATGTCCTTTAGAAAAGGTGCAAATTTGGA